ATATTATAATATTATTATTTTATAATATTATGGAATTTTTATGGAATTTTAAAGATATTTCAGGTTAAGTGAAATATTCTATAATGAAGAAGCTTTTAAAAAACTTAATAGATATATAATTGTTATATATAATAAATTAAAATATTGATTTATGTGTAATTAATAATTATATTTCTCAATGAAATTAAATATTCGTGTAATATACGAAGATAAAAGATATTACAATTGAATTTAACTGTAACTAATCTATATGATATACATCATATAATAAAAAGATTAATATCGATGTCGTAAATATATATAATATATTATCATCAATGTCAATGTCAATGTTATATTTTAACATTAACTTATTATAAAAAGAATAATATATATCTAGATCTCTAATGCAAATAAATTGAAATTTAAATAATACTTCGAAATTATAAATATAAAAGTGATCTTACATGGATTCAAATATTTGCGTGAAAATCAAAATTACTCGTGAGTCATGTTATAATTTCTAAAATTATATTTTTTATTTTTAATTATTTAATTATTTACATACATTTTTAAATTATTTTTATATATGATATAGATAATAAATAATGAATATTTATATATGATATGGATGACAAATAATTTATTATTTTTAAAAAAATCATGTAAAATACTTTTTTTAATTTAAAATAATGTGTAAAAATTGATGTGTTATTTAATATATTATTTACGTATTATTAAATATGTTATATTGACATTGTTATTAAATGCATTGTATTTATCATCGATTGTTAATCATCGATTTAACATACAATACATAAATTAGCAAAAAATTAAATGGCGCAAATAATAAGGAGTGAATATTGAAGGTACGATTACAGAATGGTAAAAAAAAGTTCATAATTTTTATGATAGATAATATTCATCAAATGAAAAATTCATAAAAAAATCTTAATAATAATTTGAATAATTATTAATTAATGTTTAAACTTATAAACAATTATTTGTTTCGATTAAAGTAAATAACTTATTTGTTTTAAGAATTAATATGTTAAGACTATGTATAAAAAACTATTTTATATTATTTTATTCTTTTTTTTCTTTTCTCTAGAAAAGACTTTATATCTTTCATATCCATTTTTGTCACAAAAAATTTTTTGTATCTTTATATCAAAGAATTCTATACTTTTCCTAAAATTCATGGACTTGCACCAATTATTTTATTAGTATTTTATATTTTTCAATCTAATTCTATATTATTAATTATTAGAAAGATCATTATATTCTCCAAAAAAGATTTAAATAAGAAAATTGAAGAGACTATTTGATTCATCTCATTCAATTCATCTTTCTTATTTAAACAAATATAAATTATCTACTTAAAAAAAAATTATTTTAAATTAAAAATAATTTTAAAAATATTAATTTTACATTCATATTTATTAGGATTTTTTTTCTTTCTTATTTATTTTTCTTTCTTTCTTTATTTAGCAAATTATTTGAAAATTATAAAGTTTTTTTTATCATCCTGCATGCATTGTTTGAGGCAGTGGTTCTTAACTTTCATCAATCAAATTTTCTTTAAATAATTTTTTATTTTCATGGTTTTCTAAGATTTAACTTAATATCTAAATTTATTGTGATATTATGTATATATAAAACTATTCAGTTTTTTCAAATATAGAAAGAAAATATTTATTATAAATCAATAAATAAAATAAACATATTCAGATTAAATATTTATTCGAATATGAATAAATCATTCTTGTTTAGCCATTAATGTTAAATGTGTATCATAACATAGCGAATATCGTGCTTTCTCTCACTCTCAGTGAAGATTACACGGTCTCTCCGAGGTCTGCGGACTACAGGTTAAGAACCGCTGGTCTGAGGCATAGTCAAGGATAAAACAACACGGGTTCAGTCAGTACGTGTCATTCGACAACGGAATGCCTCATATAACGAGATTGAACAAGTGAAAATCTAAAAAGTGTAGTTAGGCCACGTGATCAGTTTTAAAATGTTACTACTCGAAACTTTATTTCAACGAAAAGGTATACGCCAATAAAATAAAAGATGAAAATATGCTCTGTGATATGTTAATCAAACATGTGTTATACGAACTTACATGTATGTATGTATTTGCGAATTTTTCTCGAATCCATGCTTTGTAACATATGATGCGTAATACAAGATCATATTGTCAGGTGAATTCATGAATTAAAGACGAAATTATTCAACATGTTAACACAAATATATTCATATAGATCTTTGTTTACATCCTTTTATGGAAGATGTATATGAATCATTATGTGATTCATTATACATTATTCACGAATTACACATTACACAAATCAATAGATATTAAATTTTGAATTTTGTTACCAGTATTAAATATTTGCAAATTATAAATTTACAAGTTCTAAGAATAAAGTAAATGTCATTCATATACATATGTATGTTTATACTTATATGACGTGTATAAAAAAATAATTACTTTCCATGCATACAAATAAATGTAAATTAGCTACATGTAATTATCATATTATTTTTTTGCAATAATAAATAAATTAATTATTAATGTAAGACATATAAGTTATTAATCATTATTTTTATGTAACAATAATTTTTTTACAATAATCTTTTAGTTTTATATTATATAAAAATTTATTTATTTCATCGATATCCTGAATATTATTTTATTTTAGCTAGTTATTAATGTTAACGCAATCATATTATGTTATGTCATATCATATTATTGTTATGTAATATAAAAAAAATAATTTTAATTATTTTTAACGAATTTTTTTTAAAATATTTAAAATATATTTTGTAAATAAGAGAATGAAAAAAAAATAATAAAAAATAATAAAATAAAAAATAAATTAATATAGTCTATTAATTAAAATTATTTTATGTTTTTTAAAAAAATCCACATTAATATACATTGATTTTTC